TATCTCCTCAATATATGTTCCATTCTATATGCATCCGAAGAAGTGGGCTGTAGTCCACGAAAGCTTATGCTCTAATAAATTTGTTAGTCTCTAAGGTGCCACAAGTACTCCTGTTCTTCTTTTTGCGGATACAGACTAACACGGCTGCTACTCTGAAACCTTAGAATATGCAGTGCGGCAGTCAGAGTGGTGTGAAGAGCCCAGGGGATGTACATTGACAAAAATGTTCCAGGAGCACAGAACTGCAGTAGTTTTGGCGCTACAGGTAAGGTTTGAACTGTATTGGTAGTTCTGTGGGGGAGGCATACACAGCAACTGCCCACACTATCCCTGGCTCTGGCCAATCCTATATCTCCCTTGTTTTCATGAGCACCAAAATCAATCTAGTTTTAAAAAAGAATGAAAAGTAAGGGGATTGCAGACATCACTTTACATTTCAAAGTTTGAAGAATTCAAGACACTTTGCTAGTGCAAGGTTAACACTCAACCCTTCCCCACAAATGATTGTGACTGTCAACCACAGAGCCTCTTGGTATTTGCAGGCAACATCCAAACATTTAAGAAGGCTGGCCTAATCTAAGCTCCATTAGAAGCATTTAATATTGGCTCGCCACAATCTACTGCAGCCTTTGTCCATATTTCTTCATATCTCTGAGGAATCAGATAGCAGTGGCTGTGGTGAAGTGGGAGGGGAAAGCAGGGAGTTGAGCCTGCAACTTGTTCTACTAGAGCTTTTCCAGCAGGATAAGTTTAACCACATTTCTCGCAAGGTTAAGAAGCTGCACATGTCAAATTACTGTACTGTCCTGCCTGCCTCCTGCACAAGTTCCCTGCTAACATACAACAGTATTTTCTCAGGTGAGTCACCTGGATTGTCCTGGCTGGGCAATGCCTTAAAGGCTTGGGTCTTTCTTCAGTCTCTTCTGGAAGGAGAAAATAAAAAATAGTTTTGCTGATGCTCAAAGGGTGAAATTCATTAGAGTTAGGCTCTACAACCTTCAGGGCAGGCACCTGTTATCCTCAGTAAGAACTGAACAGATGCTGCTTAGGAATACTTTGTGGCTTACAGGTACAGTTGACCCCTGCATATGTGTGTATGTGAGAGGATGTAGTCTGTGAGATATGTAAAACTTTTGTTGGTGTTTCTACCCTTAGTGAATTTGTAGTTGCCATAATAACTTCCCAGCCAGTTTCTCATTTTCTTATGTAACCCATGATTAGAGTTGAAACCTCAGCATAGTCCATGTCCCCTTTTTCTGAACTCCTTGGAACCTTCTCCTATAGACTTCATAATATTACTGCAGCACTTAAAAACCCTAGTCAGACATCAGGGCCTCTGTAATGCTGGCTGACCAGGTGCTAGTTCATGCCAGTATCCTCATGTCTCAACTGAATAATGAGAAATGCATAGCTGGAATCAGTCTGATTCTCTTGTGGGTTAATATTGATAGAATAGGTATTAGAATTATAAGAAAGTGTTTAGACTCTATTGAATGCTTGTGAGTTGCTGCATGCATTAATCTTACTTGTAATATCTGTGTTCCATATTGTAATGTAATATTTGAGCGGTTGTATTGTGAGTCTCTGTGACTATATGAATTGCTTACAGGGGAGGGATGTTAATTAGTGTGAAGAGATTGTTATACTCCTCCCAAAAGAGGAGACCCATCAATACCAGACAGCCTAGGGTTGGTTCTTTACAACTGGAAAGGCTGTACAAGTGGACTGAGACACCATCAACAAAAAAAACAAAAAGAACAGGAGTACTTGTGGCACCTTAGAGACTAACAAATTTATTAGAGCATAAGCTTTCGTGGACTACAGCCCACTTCCTGTTCTTTTTGCAGATACAGACTAACACGGCTGCTACTCTGAAAAAAACCAAAAGACTCTTATTGTTCTGCTCTCCTCCCTGTGAAGATGTCTCATGCAAGTGGACTCCTCCCATCAGCTGAGATTGCATCTCTGAACACATGGCAGGAAAGGGATAAAAATTCCAGGCCAAAGGATCTCTATGCTGCTTGGACTCTTGGGGGCAAGGTGGTTCTAGGCATAAGCAAGAGATCCCCAGCTGCTTAGCCTAGGTTAGCCCTAAACGTCAAATAGAGCTCGCTGATTATAGAAGCCTATATTATCTTTCGAAACCTAAAACTAACTCATTCATCTGCCTTTGTTTGCTTGCATTATATGACTCTCTAATTTCCTTGTCCTATATAACAAATCTTCATATACTTTACTACAGGATTGGCTACAAACTTTGTCTTTGGTGTGAGACCTAAAGCACAGTTGACCTGAGGTAAGTGACTGGTCCTTTGGGATCAGGAGTAACCTGAATGTTGCTATGATTCTTGGTATAAGGGACTAGATACACTCACCTGGGTGGCAAGACAGACCGGAATACCCAAGAGGACTGTCTGTGACTCCATGTAAAGGCTGTTAAAATGCCTGTGGAGTTTGCAGTTGGTGCAGTTGGTTAATGAAATCTAAGGTTAGAACTCACAACCAATTTGGGGTTGGTGCCCTGGTTTTTAACAGTCTGCCCCAAGGTTGGTACTCACAGTCTTGCGTTACTGTTAGGAGCGTTACAGCCTCATTGTGCCCGATAAATGACATTTATTTAGGTATTATTGGTTCAGTGCCTTACTGTTGCATTTGTCGCTCAATGAGGAAATCTGTTTCCCCCATAGGCCACTCTCCTTTGTGCCGTTTGTTCCTCTTCCTTCCCCAACTTCCCTTCTGTTTCCAACCCCCTCTCCTGTCTTTGTGAGTCTCCTCTGTTCTTTTCTTTTCTCTGTTCTCTGTAGAACAACCCCCAATTCCCAATCCAGTGGGCTTCACCTGCACCCCTCTGAGTCATTGTTTCAGACTCTTCACATACTCAGGCAGACATCACTGCATTGGCTACACTTGGTTCACATTTAAGACTCACAGATTTATTTGGGCATAAGCTTTCGTGGGTAAAAAACCCCACTTCTTCAGATGTGTTGTTTTCACCCACAAAAGCTTATGCCCAAATAAATCTGTTAGTCTTTAAGGTGCCACCGGACTCCTCGTTGTTTTTGTGGATACAGACTAACATGGCTACCCCTCTGATACTTGGTTCACATTTGAAAGGTTCTCTCTGCAGCCATGAGGGCTAGAAACTTTGTTTTTCATGAATATCCAAGGTAATGTGCCTTTAGGCAGGAATGTCTATGGAAACAGTGAATTTTAAGTGACTATTGGAGAATATTCACATAAAGTTAATTTTCATAGATTCATAGATTCCAAGGCCAGAGGTGACCATTGTGATAATCTAATCTGACATTTTGTGTAATACAGGCATAGAACTTCTTCTGCAAATAATTCCTGTTTGTATTTTGTAATCATAAATGTGAGCATTGGCACCATTAACCTGATTCGATCTGCTACACTGATCTAATCATGGAATCAAAACATACCATGTGACCTCTGTGTCCTGTGAAAACAGCTCAAATTTCAAATATGAAATTCTCACAGTGGTCTAGCTTGCAAAGAACAGACCAAGAATTTCTCACAGGGTTTATTTGGCAAATCATGTCAAACAACAAATAGACTTCAGAAAATCACAGACAATAATTTGTTGCTGGAAAAAGAGACAAAATCAATTGAATATATTAACTGTTACAATTTGTTCCCCCTAAGGTCAGACTTAAATGCTGCGTAGTCCCTGGGCTGACCCTCTGCAGAGAGATCAACTTCACATCCAGCTCTAGGGATAAGCATTGTTTCTCAATTGTGCTGAGGACAATTTCTGCTCACACTTATACCCATTCCAACCTAATAACTTGAAGTGTAAATACATGTGAGATCTGTTAGGCAGTTAGGGATTTTCTTTTTTCTCATACCAGAAGCCCAGGGAGCTCAGGTACTATGCTGATGAGCATAGTATAAGAACTTATATAGAATAGGTTAGAATTTGTTTTTTTTCTAGGGTTTGAAATCAGTCTGATACTTCTCCATACATTCTTTTCCACATAATGTTAAAGGCTGATAGTTTCACACTGCAGTACATGATAGCAAGGAATGGCATTGCTTGTAGGATTGGTCATTGAGTATTGGGCTTTTCACCTATCCTTTGTCAGGGCCAAGATATCTCTGGTAAGTAGTGGCTGAAAGTCCCTCCCATATGATGGATGTTTGGGGTGGTCACATGGAAGACAGTCTCTCAAACCAGTCCCCAGTAGACACATGTCCACATCACCAAAACCACCATCACACTTGGTCCTAACTGGCATTCTTGTTGGCTTTCTCAGGCAAGGATGAGGCCCAGATCCTCAAAGGTATTTAAGCACCTAACTCCCATTGAAGTCCATGGGAGTTAAGGACCTAACTACCTTAGAGAATCCGAGCCTGAATGACTGCAATAACCTCTGACCTTTAAAGGGGATCTGCATGGCTGCAACGAATAAATTCAGGGATGAAGTAGAGGGAGCATAAATCTTGGTTGCCAATGCTGTCCATGTTCTGTCAGTTCAGGCCCTTTCAGTAACAAGGAATTCACAAAGGGCTTGATCCAAAGATTGCTATAGTCAATGGGAGTTTTTCCACTGATTGCAATGGGCTTGGGATCAGGCCCTAAATACTACTTCTGCGCCTACTAATAATTAATAATTAAATTTAAAAAAGGGCTGGCAAAGTTTTCCAACCATTGTAAACAAATATGTTTCCACTACAAAATGCATTTAATGGAGTTTTGCAGCATTGGTCTCCCGGGCAAGCATATTAGTGTCTGCTTCCTCCCACCCCTCACCGCCCCCGGTCCTTAATGGCCACAGCCAGGGGGGATTGGTTTGAACTGTGGAGGAGGCTGTTTTTTATCCGCCTTGAGTGGTGAGGCATAAATTGGCATTCCGTATCATCATAAAAAAAATCCCAGCAATTATTAAAAGATTCTTATCTCTTGCTCCCTACATGGATAATGAGATCCTTCTCTGCTGGACTGAGACAGCCTGTCTCTCAGCTCACTTAATGAAATGGACCCAAGTTTGCAAATTAGCATAGCCCTGACTCCAAACGTAACCTCTTGTTGTCTAGTTGTACATCAAGGCACCTGGCTTATGTCTTTGCTTATTAACACCCCGTAATCATGTCAGCCCTCTTTAGTTTTCATTTCCTGTTTCCTTTTACAAAATCCATGTTAGAGTTATGGGCACCTTTTGGGGGGATTTTTTTGTTCAGATGGTCTGGGATGTTTTTTTCAGTCCCAGTTGTAAAATTATTATTATTATTTTCATTTAGTGGCTAGGGCATTGGACTGGGACTTAGGGCTCTATTCCTCCCTCTGCCACTGGCCTGCTGTGTGACCTTGAGCAAGTCACTTCCTCTCTCTGTGCCTCTATTTTGCCTCCTTCCCTTTGTCTGTCTTGTTTATTTGGATTGTAAGATCTTTGGGGCAGCGACTGCCTCTTACTATATCTTTGTACAGTGCTTAGCCAAGTGAGTCACCCATCTTAATTATAGTAGTAATAATAATGGTCAGGAGCAGTATTTTATGGTGGTGTTCACCGTATGCTAAGAACTTTCCAAGCCATGAAGAAGGATGATCCCTTTAAAACCATTTTTCTGATGCAAAACTTCATTGTTGAACCTTTAGAGCAGTGGTCCCCAAACTGTGGGGTGCGCCATCCTAGGGAGAGCGCAGAGGAACGTTCGGGGAGGGCATGGCGAGGCCTGGGCAAACCCCCATGGGGGGACGGGGAGGGAGTGCCACCCAGCCCTGCTCTGCCCCCAGCTCTGTTCCGGCCCCAGCTCCTGGCCACCGCCACGGCTCCTGGCCACAGGTCCGCTTCCAGCCCTGCCCCTAGCTGCAGCCTCGGCCTAAACCCCTGGCTCCCAGCCCAACCATGGCTCTGCATGAGGCCACAGACCCAGCTGCCGGTCCAGCCATGCCTCTGTTCCCGGCCGACTCCCGCACCCCCGCCTCAGCCCCCAGCTGCAGCTCCACTCCTGGTCCCGGCTCTGCTCCTGGCCACA